GGATCAGACCAACTGACCACTGTTAACAAGAGTTTCAGCCATGCTTCCAAAATCATAGCTGAGACTTCCATGTCCTTTGCACTTTAAAGTATGCTTCATATGTGAACTAACTATATCCTTTTCCCCCACCGATGTTGTTGTGTTGAAAAGTCAACTCATGTGCCAACTTCTTTTTTCTTTATAATATAATATTAATGAACATTGTTCACTAAATGTCTTTTAAATCGAAAAATCGTTGTTCAGTGTAAATGTTCCCTGAACTGGGCATGTAGACCCATCAAACCTTTTCTACATTGTAAATAAATAAAACAATTTCTACAAATATTTTGTTCAAGCAACTTTTTTTTAACCTCTTTTTTTTTATCTAAACGTATACTTCATATGTGAATATTTCAGGCAACATTTCTAATGTTTAGTTTAAGTACTAAATTACTAAAACTTAAACTGAAAATAAGCTGATACTGAAATGAAAAATAATAAAAAGCTAAATAGGCGTCTAATTACAAATGAATAAAACTGACAACCAAAAAAATGACTAAATCTATAAAGAAAAATTAAAAAATATACAAATAAAGGGAAATTCGAAATAAATAGTAAAATGGAATAAATGCTATTTATATTAATGTCTAAAAAATAACACTGCAGCAAATAGACATTTTGCTCCATAACCATTTTTCTACTATTTACATATTTTAATTTTTGTTAAAACATTAAAACAAATTTAAAGGAAAAAGGTAAATATATTTATAATGTGTTCTATTCACTGATCTATAATAGATCTATCATATAGATCAGTGGTTCTATTATATACTATTACCATAGTATACAGTATGTATAGTATAGTATATGTATTACCATATGATTGCAGCGTGCTTCAAGCAGGAAACGTGCGTTGTGTCCTTGGCAACAGTGACACAAATGGCGTCGGGCTCCTCAACAATAATTGTTACGAGGACATTTCCATTAAAAAGTATAAACTGTTTAGCTGTCTGCTAAGACCGTTTTTATTGCAAAACACTAATTTTCCTCAGGGATTTAAAGCAAGATGGTTCTATACTAACCAGTTGTGTTATTTGATATCTTGTCAGGCGCTTGTCAATTGTAAAGTTGTTTAGCGTTGTTTTCGACGCATTAATGAGCTGCGTACATCGCATCGCTTCGAGGTTCGGTAATGCAGGCGAGTGATCGCACAACATTTACTGCTGCTTTGCACTCTACGGTTACAGTCTAATATTACCAAGTTGGTTAACATGCCAACTCACTGATACTCAATGCCTGTTATCCTTCTGCCCCTTTGCTTGCACTTAAACTCACTTTTTGTTCTCTTATCCCGTTGAATAAAAGAAATCGGATGATCCATACGAGAAATTCATTTTGCTACATCTTCAGCATTATGGATTTCTCTCGGGTAAGTTATTCGAGTCAGCCTTTGGATGGGTTTAACATCGTTTGACTGGTTTAAAGGATTTAGTATGTCTTCTAATACAGCATTACACATTTTACTTACATTTTGTTTCTGTATACATAGACAATAGCTCTTCTGTGCATTCAGGTGTACCCATCAAAAGAGAGTGGGAGGGCAACCAAGATTCGACCGCTTCAGACATGATCAACTCACCATCTGAGAGCAATGACTCCAACTTCGAAGAGGAGCAGGAGGAACCCAAGCCATGTCACAGTAAGTTAAATAAGTAAAACTCTTGGATTTGGGTCAGTTGACAGTGATGTGAAATATAGAAACCCATTTTGCCACATGAGAAAAAAAACATGCTTTGTTAAATCATAAAAAGATGAAATTATGACATTATGAAATAAGTAGTCATTAAAACACAATAATTAAGTTATAATTAAGGCATAAACCTAATTGTCTTAATTTTTCCCCCATAATTATTACTTAGTATGTCATAGATTTGACTTTTTATATAATAATTTTGACTTTTACTCGACTTTTTAGGATGTCATAATTTCACTTTTTGGTCAATTTAAATTTTTTGTCATCTTTTATCTCATAATTACGTTTTCTTTTTTTAAATCACATAATTATGAAAATATGTAACAATTTAATTGTGACTTCTCATAACTTAAACTTATGTCATAATTCTGACTTTTTTTCCTCATAATTTTGACTTTTTACTTCATAATGTGAGAATTTAGAATTCTTAATTCATAATTATGACTTTTTAATGCCATAATTATGATTTACCAAAGCATGTTTTTTTCTTATGTGGTGGAAATGTGCTTCCATAATAAAGCATGTTCTGATATGTAAATTAAAAAATCATGATTTTTAAAATTATAATCATGACATAAAAAGTCAAAATTATGACATTATGAAATAAAAAGTCAATCAATAATAAACAAATTGTAAAAATCAATGATAAAGTCACAATTAAGAAATACAAATTTTGACTTAATTGTCAGAATTTTTGTCTCATAACTTAGTATGTTAATTTGGACTTTTCCCCCTCATAATTATGACTTACTATGGCATAATTCTGTGCTTTTGTCTTATAATTATCACTTGCTATTTCGTAGTGTCATAATTTTGAATTCTTATTTCCTAATTCTGACTTTTTAAAGTCATAATTAAGATTCATCAAAGCATGTTTTTTTTCTTATGTGGTGGATATGGGCCTCCATAATGAAGCATGATATGATATGTCAATTAAAATATTGTAGTTTACGAGACAAAAATTGATTGAGTTGATCCCATGTTAAGATGCAATACTGAATCTTGCAACAAATCACCACCATTGCCACCTAAATCAGGGCCGTGCACAGACCTTTTGAGGGGCATGTGCTGAAACTGATATATAAATAGGGTTTCTTAGGTCTATAGGTCTGCATGTTATACACTATTATAATGACATATGATATGGCTTTTAAAGACTGCTTAATTTCTAAATCTCAAAGGTGGAAGTCAGGACTAATAGACTTGGCCTGGAAAAAGGACATGGTATGATAGCTTGGCATTATACAGTGCAAAGGATATCTGGCCTTCTAGATGTAAAGTAGGCTATAACAATGGGCCTCCTGGGTAGTCACGTGCCTGACCTAAATAATGATATTTTTGCATTTCTCAAGTTTTTTCAAGTTGTCACATAATATGTAACACTTGAGTCTAAACAGCTAGTTCCCATTTGAAATGTATGGCCTTTATAAAAGATTCAGACACTAAGAACACATAATTGTTTTAGGGAGCTTGTAGCCAATGAATTGTATGTCTTAGTTACATGGGTAATTCTGATGATCGCTGCTGGTAACAAATGCTTCTCACATGTCTTTTAACTACAGCTTGTCTGTTGGGTAATAAATTAGATTTTGTAATAATATGTCAGTGTTTCATTTCTTCCAAGATTTTTTCTGCTTAGACAAATTGCTCAGAACCCGGCAACTTGTGTTTGATTTTGACGGTGAGCGGCCTGTTCCACGCCTGAGGGAGTCTGTGGACCTCTTCACAATTCCTTCTACCTCCTGTCCATTCCAGGGCGTCCGCTGGCCCATAGAATGTGAAGTGATCCGTGACAACATCCAGCATATAGGTATCAGTGCTTTACTTTACTACCAATACAGTATATTGTCAGACAGATACCAAA